TCTTTCTTTCTCTCTCTCTCTCTCTCTCTCTCTTTCACTTTAAGTTTCTCTTTCTCTGTCTTTCTCTCTGCAGAGCGCGCTGCGAGCGCGCCTTTCTGGAGTGTATTTCAGAGCGCGCCAGAGCGCGCCGTCCAAAGCTCGCCCTGCTGTCTTTCTCTTTCTCTCTTTCTTTCTTTCTTTCTTTCTTTCTTTCCGTCTTTTCCTTTCTTTTCTTTTCTTTTCTTTTCTTTCTTTCTTTCTTTTCCTTTCTTTCTTTATTTTTTTATTTTCTTTTCTTTTCTTTTCTTTTCTTTCTTTCTTTCGTTCTTTCTTTCTGTCTCTCTCTCTCGGCATCAACCCACCTTGAGAGGACTGGTACCAAGCGGCCTGCACCCTTCACGACCCAGCCGGAGGGTGGGGACGGCTCCGCGAATCAGTGTGATCAAAGTGACCAACCTCGCAACAGCACAAGAAGCGAAGGCGGCTACCCTACCCCTACAGAAGCTAAGAGACGTAACCGATGGGGCGCGGCCAAGAGGAGGACAAGAGGAGGACAACGAGGAGAAGAGGAGGACAAGGCCTGGACACAGAGCCCAGCCACACAGCCCAGCCACAGAGTTGACAGAGTTCATGGGGCGCGGGCAAGAGAAGGACAACAGGAGGGCAAGGCCTGGACACAGAGCCCAGCGCGGGCAAGAGAAGGACAACAGTAGTGCAAGGCCTGGACACAGAGCCCAGCCACAGAGTTGCCAGAGTTCAGGGGCGCGGCCAAGAGGAGGACAAGGCCCACAGCCACAGAGCCCAGCCACAGAGTTCTAGAGTTCAGGGGCGCGGCCAAGAGGACAAGAGGAGGACAAGGCCCAGCCACGGAGCCCAGCCACAGAGTTGACAGAGTGCAGGGGCGCGGCCAAGAGGAGGACAACAGGAGGACAAGGCCCAGCCACAGAGCCCAGCCACAGAGTTGACAGAGCTCAGGGGCGGCGGCCAAGAAGAGAACAAGAGGAGGACAAGGCCCAGCCACAGAGCCCAGCCACAGAGTCGACAAACTTCAGGGGCGCGGCCAAGAGGAGGACAAGAGGAGGACAAGGCCCAGCCACAGAGCCCAGCCACAGAGTCGACAAAGTTCAGGGGCACGGCCAAGAGGAGGACAAGAGGAGGACAAGGCCCAGCCACAGAGCCCAGCCACAGAGTTGACAGAGCTCAGGGGCGCGGCCAAGAGGAGGACAAGAGGAGGACAAGGCCCAGCCACAGAGCCCAGCCACAGAGTTGACAGAGCTCAGGGGCGCGGCCAAGAAGAGAACAAGAGGAGGACAAGGCCCAGCCACAGAGCCCAGCCACAGAGTTGACAGAGTTCAGGGGCGCGGAGGAGGACAAGGCCCAGCCACAGAGCTCAGCCACGGAGCCCAGCCACAGAGTTCAGGGGCACGGCCAGTGAGTGTGGCCAGCTCTTTTCTTTCGAAGATAGAACCCCAACAACAGTAAACAGTTTGGGGAAAAACAAAGAAACACAGACTTCCTGAACGTCTCTGTCTGTGATTTTTGAACCAGTAGAACACCCTCTGAGGCACGGTCCCTCGTTTTGAAGCTGGGCAGTTCGGTCTTTGATGGCCTTGTCCACGATGCCTCAAGAAGATGGGCTGATGTGTCGGACACATCGGGGATCTCTCCACGGGGTCCACCCCTTGGATCAAGTTCGGCAGGCATGGGTTGACGAAACACGGCTGTTTACTGTAATGGCCAGGGTTGATGTATGCGGAATTGGCACATGCAGTCTGGGACTGGGTCGAACAAAGCTGTTGGCATGGTATGATCAGTGCCGGATGATTTGAAGTGGCAAAAGTTGGAAGTACCTGCACCTCCATTGATCACCAAAAATGTGCATCACATGCCGAAGCTCCTTGTCCAAACAGTTTTTTCCTTTTGCTGGCAAAGGACGTTGGTCACCGAGTGATTTAGCCCCTTACCTGATCACTTCATGGCCTTCTCAGGGAAAATGCAAGGAGTTGTTGCGGCGTTGAATCCTTTTCCAGCCGTAAATCCAAAAAGATCAGCCCGATGTTTAGGCTGCCGACTGTCAGCCATCATCCCGGTCACTTGCGATGTGAAGCCCGTACTATGCTCTGACGCCTCGGCATCGAGGACTCTCGCGTGGGCATCCCAACCAATCGGTGTTCATGCTGGAGGTTTTTCTGTCACCAAGGATATGCCGGATGATCCCCGTTGTTTGATGTGGTTAAGATGCCCTGGCGACAGGGTGGAAATTCTGCTGCTGCTGCTGCTCAGAAGGAAGACGAAAAAAAAACAGATGTTTCATCTAAGTGGATCTCTTCAACAAAAGCAGTGCGCAAAAGTCTGCTCCAATGGCGAGGTCTTCTTCTCATCCAGTGCCCTGCACTAACCTGCACTAACCTGCTTTAGATTAGTGTCATCGAAAAGAACTCCCTTTTTTTGCAAAGCTCAAAAAGTGAAAATATAGCAATATTAAAAATAAAGAAAACGTGGTTTGCTTCTCAATCAATGGATAGTTTGGACACTTCACCTGAACCTAGTAGCCACGTGGCAAGACAAAAAGTGTGTGAAAACGAAGTTGTTGGAAAAAACCTGATCGACTTAGCTTCGACTACCTCCCATCCCCGCCTTTTGCGGCGCCAGATGCGGCTTCACCGGCCTTCGCTCGGCCTCCGTGTCATACCTCCCGTGTGCACCGTCATACACACAATGAGAGGGTTGATCCTAGGTCAAGTTCAGTTCCGCGGTGAGTGAATGGTTCCCTGAACCTTGCAAGAGTTTGTCTTACAAAGGCTTTGCAACATTTTCCTGCTATGGCTACAGCAGCTTCCTGCGATCCAGCGATTTGGGTCTGCCTCTGTAGTTTCTTGACTCAGGGAAAGGTTAGCATCACCAAGTTGTTTAACCAGCAAACGAGTTGTGAAAAACGTTGAAATTAATTATAGGCCAACGCCCTCAACTAAAGTGATAACCGCAAAACCGTCGGCAAAGCCTGCTAGTCTTGGCACGGCTGGATGCCTCAGGCAGACCGAAGAACGACGTTTCACTAGCTGACCGAAAGCACGAACACTAACAAAGAAGACCAGTAGTCGTAGTCGGTGAAATGTAAATTACACCGGCTGCACCAACACGATCAAAGAGTCAAAGAGTCTGAGGCATGAACCCAGTCCATGGCAGCAACGATGTGCAAAAAGTTTACACTGCAAACGCCGGCAGAAGCGAAGCCGGACAGGCCCAAAGATAGAAGTGTATTGTCCTCTCTTATGGGGATCTTCTGCAACAAATTCCAATATGTGCAGTCTAGATGCACCGAAAGCGGTTGCGCAGTGCATCTCAAAGCTGTGCGGTTTTCAAGCAGCATGTTGTCCCACTCTGGCTGTCATGGCTCCTTGATCTCAAAATCTCAGCAACCGAAGGAAGCTCAGCACTGACTTGTGGATCAATAGAGGCTGTGCTGGCGAGTGATGGGTCAAAAAATGTGGGGTCAAACATGTGTCATCTCATCAGGGTCCAAAAAAACCGTCCAAAATAGCCCGGTGTGGGACCATTGAACTGTTTGGGAGACATGATGAAAGGGAATCCGACTTTTGTTCTGATGGTAATAGGGGTTGTGGACAAGCAAACGAGCAAGGGGTATAGGATGACAAGCAGCAGATTTGGCTGGAGTACATGCCCGCCTGGACAGTCAGCTGTTTTTGTTAAATCAATCAAAGGATTTACTGGTGAATCTCTTCAGATTCGCAGGTTCTGTGGGGTGTTGTTCTGTCGGTTGTTCCTGGATTCCTGTTGTTCTACAATGCTAATTTACAGATGCAACAAAGAATCACTCGCAGATTCAAGTCCAAGGAGTCCAAGGAGTCCGGAGACTGAGTGAATGGGTCGTCCGTTGACCATCCGAGCACTGGCGTGGCTCTGCGCTTTTCGTTGGTCCAGCGGCAGCTAGGGTCACACCGGCTACAGCGCACATCTGGCGACAGTCTGCATGTCAGTAGTGCTTGCACTTTGATCCCTTCGTTTGTTTGCCTCAAAAAACAAGCCTTAGCGACTTCGATCCCTTTAATGGATGATGGATGTGATCCTTTTCATCAATATGCTCGATGTCAAAAGCACATGAAAGGGTCGTCTACCAGGTCAAGGTCTGTCTTGACCCAACCCGGGCTCTTAAACACCATCTCTCGGTGGCAACCCCCCTTGGGGCAGCTCAAGAAGTGGTTCTTCCCCAAATCAGAGCTCCAAACAGATTTGATTTGCTGTTTTTGCAGAAATCTTTGCATCAACCAACAGTTAAAGGTACATGTAACCATGTGTAATCTACCAGTTTTCGACCAGTCTCGATTTTGTGCTGATTTAGGGAGCCCAGCCATTGCATCAACGCATCCACGGGGCACCAGTGAGACTCAGATTCGCTTCGCAGGGTCCTCCTGGCGAGTTTGGTCGCCGAAGGAGGAAATGCTCGCTTGCTCGTCGAAGTCAGTAGCTCTCCGAAACATGCAAGGTTCATCCACGAGTAACAGGCTCCGAAACATGCTGCTCAAAACGATCAGAGAGAAACAAATGCTCGAGTTTGCAACTCTTTGGATCCACCTTTTGAGCTCTCTCATGCTGCTGCTCACCTTGCTCATGCTGCTGGGCGCGTGCTCAAATCGGCGGAACTCCGACATGTGCCTCTGAGGTGGAGCAGTCTTTTCAGGTCAGTCTCAATGGTCATGTCGTCTTCTCATAGGTACCCGATCAACGTGGGGTTTGGGAGGTTGGGAGGTCTGAAACTCTCTGTGGAAGATTGAAGAAACTCCAATCGATTGTAACTCTCCAGCTACCAGCTTGCGGCTACCTCCCATCTGGATTTGTCGAACACTCTATCGCCTACCACAAGGAACTCATCTAGTTTGCTGGAACCTTGGACCTTCAATTGAATTTGCCCGCTTTCCCCTCACAGGCTGTGCCAGCTTTCCCCAATCTGAGGAGCGGACATGTGGGGCAGCACGATCCTCGGCTGACTTGCAGAACGACTGAGATGGCTCTCCAGCATCACGAGCCACGAGGATCTGAAATGACTGGAACGGCTGCTGCTTGACGGTGCCAAACTAGGAAACTCTCCGGATGCACACCGACTTGCCTGAGCATGACGGAAGCGATGAATCAAGTTTCACCAACTATCAATACTATGTTCTTTCTAAGATCGATCGAAACAAATACACTACGACTCTTAGGACTTTGGCTTTAACCTTCTTCCACTTCCACCCTCTGTGGGCCGAGTGGCAGGAAAAGCAGTACAACTGCTGCTGTGAGCATGCAGCACAGCCGCTCACGTGACCTGCCAGATTGAATGGGGGTTTGGAGCACCGCTCTGGGTGGTGATAGTCTTCACTTCCTGTGTCCAGGTGAAAACTTCCTTGGTCCAGCACCCTTGCACCCTTCTTGGTCAAAGGTCAATTTGCGCTTCGGACTCCTGCTCTCCGAGATCACTCGAAAACGTGCATCCTTGGTTGTGCCAAAACCACCCAGACAGACTCTCTTTCCCTGGCAGACCCTCGTTGTCGATCTGCCGCTTTCCGCAACTCGGATGCAGCCTGGCAGAGCTGTAGACACGCAGGCTCATGCACCGACTTACAGCAAGCACAAAATCTCACCCAATCAGGATGTCTGACGATCATGCAAAATGACACCCCAAGCCAAGCCTGCTTGGTTTCTCGAGCAGCCGTGTCAGCGGTGTGCTCCTCGGCTTGGTCAAAAGGAGAAACTGAAATCATCCGTCCCCCCAGTGGCTTCTCGGGTGTGGAGAAGAATCTTGGGCGGGTCAATCTCGGGATCAAGTCAAGAACTTCGGAGGTCTACCTCTTGCAGACCATAACCAAGAGACCAAAACGACTGCAAAAAGAATTGGAGCCGGCTGGAAGGTAAGCATATTCCAACCTGATCTGAAGATCCATCCTTTCAAGTCAAATTCTGCCCAGAAGTCGATACTTTCGATGTCATTCCCCTGCTCGTGGACGATGGAGGCCTCAGTGAGCTAGCAAGTCCACAGGATGGGATCATGCACCTTACAACTCACCTCTTCACTGTCCATCTGAGTTTATTGGTCAGAATAGGCTTCAACCGTTCGCCAAAGATTGAACCCTCTGGTTCTTCAACAAAAATACATTTGAGGAGTTGATGCAATGCCTTTCCACCCTCTCTCTCTCTCTCTCTCTTCCTCAAAGGGGTCCCACAGTGTCGACCAGCAAAATAGCACGAAGATAAGTGCGTCTCTTCTCCTCAAAGGTTTCGTTCACTTGGCCAAGAGGCTAAATCTCGGAAAATTTGGTTCACCTCATGAACCTGGCTCTGAATTCGCCTGAGGCAAAGGGCAACAAGGTGAGGGGCACTTCTACGAAGAGGTCTTGGACGACACCCGGCTTAGGCGGAAAAATGGACAGGGCAAGTGTCTCACTTTGCCGGAGTGGTCAAAACGGCTCAGACCATTCTCTATCCCTTCGATGTTCCTCTCGAGTGGGGGGGGTTGTGATCAAGCTGCTTGCATCAGTCTCATGAATGGGAGCCTCATCGACCAGTCAAACCCGCACCTGATGCCCTCTTCCCGTTCTTGCGCGATCCTGCGCGATCGGAATGCTTGGATCGAGCTCAAGAATTGCTTGATTCCCATGTGAAACCAATGTTGGAAAGGCGCTTTGGGAATCGGTGCAGTATTGCCAGCTGCTAGGAGGAGCGCTCGGTTGTTGTGTCTCTGTGGACCCAAAGAACAGCGCAGCGCAGGGCTCCTGCTCCGAATCACCGCATCCTGCAGCAACCGCAGAGGTGTGCTTTATGCTGCGAAGGAGTAAAACAAAGCCGAACGTAGAAAGTGAATGTACCGGAAGATGTTCAACCACCATGGTTTGGTGTCAACATGTGTCAACCAATCCCGATATTCTGAGGTGCAGTTGATGGATCGACTGGGGCATCATTCTCTGATAGATCCTGCCATTAGCTTGGATCAAACAGGCAAAAACCTTCGCTTGAGGGAGCTTCCTCTCTCCGCGATCTCTCCGCCTGACATTGCACTTCCTCATGCAGACCGTGCTCAACCTGGAATGTCAAGCATGTCCGAGGTGGCCATCGCTAGTAGGTTGGAGGCTATCGCTTCTAGGTTGGAGGCCATTGCTTCTAGGTTGGAATGTTAAAAGGGCGATGTTGCTTGACAAGGAAAGCATCACAGAAGAAGCTGTCAGGGTGGTTGGTGTGTCAACTAGTCAACGCATGTCTCTTTGGCAATGTGCTTTCGGCCAGCTGTATAGGCAACTTGGGTTTCAACTGTACCTGATTGTCTGCCTAGACAATCCACATTCCCGTGACGTTAACAGGGCATGCAACAATCAAAAGATTCTGAATCTTGTCCAAGACTACACCAGCGCTCCGTCTATCCAGCCATCGCATCTGCTACTTGGGATCCCTGCATCTGTTTCTGGACACAGCAAGCTTTCACTCTGCTCATCACAGACAGGACGGAATTCTGCGAGCTGAGGCAATTCAGCGATTCAGCGATGCGTCTCTTGGCAATTCGTGGGTCTTTGATTCTGGTTGCGGAATGAAATGAGTCAGTAGTGCTTTCAGCACCATCAACAGACCAACACGCTGTCAATCCAACTTGTTCATAGATACTTCATATTATCGGATGGAGAGGAAGTATGCCCTGGTAACGCCAGAAGCGAAGCCACAGAATGCCCAGTCGTCTTTAACTTGGTGTTGTTGAATTCCCCGCTGCTGGTTTACCTGAGACCTGGGTGTGGGTTCAGCCACAAACAACCGAAACCCAGTCCACAAGATGCAACAAGACCCAAACCGCTTTTTGGGTCTTCGTCTCAGCTTACCACCGACCGACATCAACCCCCGAACGACCCCGACGAGCGCCTTTCGGTCGGAGCTGACGGCTGCTCACGGCCTGCAACGTCCGGCGGTGCCCGAGAGGATCGTCAACAGAAGATGTAAACTATAAGGCTGGAAGGGATACAAAGATCAGGGGGGTCTCAGCAGACATCCTTTTCGACATCCCCCGTTCTCCTGGACTAGGGAAGCCTTTTTCACAAAATGACAACCTTGCGGACTGTGGACTGTGGAGTGTTTGCATTTTGTTTAAAAAGCGTGAGATGGTCATGTCTCTACTCATTCGTCCAATCTGAGCCACCCTGCCTGAGCCTCCTTTGCAGCCACGGTCTTCCGAGCCACATCCTCCCACGGGCATGGTCACTGTTTGGTCTGCGGATATTTTCTGGTTGACCACGAAGGTTCAAAAAGGAGTGCATGAGCCATACAAAAGGACCTGTGCTTCAATCCGCGATGGCATCTCTCAGGGAGGCTCACCCTATCATACTGAAACCGCGCCTCCCTTCCCCCCTCCACGTCTTGTATGATAAAACATATCAACAATTGTGAACGACGTGCAAGTGAAACTGGTCCAACCTTGAAGCTTCAAGCCTTGCATCCTAGCCTACTTCTGCCCAAGTGCCGAAGATGCACTGCATAGCCATCCCGAATCAACACAGTTGTGCTTTCAGCGATACAATGCCAGCTTCAGTGCCGGCAGGTCCTTCACATGGGAGACTTCCTGTTCAAAGGCCCTCTGAAGCTTCTCATAGGAGAACTTCTTTCGATGCCTTCAGGGACTTCAGCAACACCAAAGGCACCCTTGGCTACCCAGGTCTGTTTATTGGTCTCATCCCAAAGATGAAGATGAAGGTGTATTCCTGGTATGGGCTCACACAAAAAGGATGAGTTCACTTTGAAGAAGCTGTAAAGTACAAGTGAAGCTTGGCCATGTTGACAAACTCACACTCCGATCAATCCCATCTCAGCTTGTCCCACTGCATCGCTGCTCGCACCCGTCTGATCGCACCACCGCTTTGCCACGTCTCACCCCTGATCAGCCTCTCGCCCGGTTCACCGGCCAGGTGCACCGTCCAATCCCGGAAGAGCCGCTCCGTCTCCTCGGTTGGCGCGACCGGTCTCGGAGCGACCCTCGGGACCGGTCGGATCGAGGCGTCGCCTGGGAGGAAGGCACGGGTCGATCCAAAGGATTCGAATGAAAACGATCCCAAAGGAGAATCTCTGTTTGGGGAGGGCAAGGACATTGATGGCAAACTGTTTTTTAGAGATTCAAAGACAACGAATTGGCTCCTTGGGCCGTAATTCAACTCCTAAACTCTTCCCAAAGGTCCTACCCAAACTGCTCCAGCTGCGCCTGCGAAAGCTGTTGACTTCGTTCTAGGAAGCCCTCCAAGCTCTCCGTGTTTCGCTTTGAGAGGTAGCTCCTGAGGAACTGAGATCAAGCCAGAACTAACGTACCTAAACGTCCATTCGGGTCAGGATGTTGGCGGATCATAACTTGAAGTATGTTACATAATTCAATAATGTTCAATATGCTGTTTGAGGCTAGTGGCTAGTTGGTACCAGATATCAACAATTTCACAGAGAAGAGAACACAACCCTGAACGATAAATTTACCAGAGAGATGGGTACACAATGCACTTAAGAGAGAAGCTAGTCCTATTTGCGGTCCCTCTAGATATCAACAAACCCTGACCCACTCGTCCAGCATGGGATAAAGGGCCATCATTTCGCAAACGCTTCCTCTGCGACTGCTCAAGTTGCTCATTGGCTCGGTGAAGCAAGTCCTCACGAAGACAAGGAGCAAGAAGCTACGAAAGCTACGTTCGGAGCAAAGGGCATCGCTACTAGGAGCAAGGACACTATTAGTGGCTCCTGGCATCGCTACTAGGAGCATTCTTACTACTAGTAACAAGAACGCTACTAGTTACTAGTAGCAAAGGAAAAGCTGAAAACAAAAGCTTGGCCAACCATCTTCTGGATGAGGAAGGCCAAGCAACACCGTCAAATGCTATACTTTTGTGGTGGGTCTGGGTCATTAAATAGATGAGCATTCCTCCAAGCTACAGTACATTTGCATGGCTTTAAGATGCTTTACCTGACCCACACGCCCACAAAAGTCCAATTCCCATCCTGAATCTCTTGGATGTTTGCCTCAAGAGGAGAACAACGCTGCACTGCACAAAAGAATGTGCACAGCCAATGACCAAACCCAGGGCAAATGATTCAGAATGTGCACATCCTATTCTGAAATGTCTTCTTCTGAACTCTAGCTGCGCACGGGCGAGTAGACAAAACTACACGCCCCAAACCGTCGTAACAGCGGGCGTAAACCGCCAACGGTCGTGACCCGACGGTAGACCCGAGGGTAGGCCGATGACTAAGCTCTTTGCTTTGATGCTCTGCTCAAAGCTGGTCTCCCCCTGGGCGCTCACTCAGCAGCGGCACAAGAAGGTTTTTCCAGAAGGTTCTCCACAAAACATCACACATCATCACACCCTACAACGCCTAACGGACAAACATTGACCTGCCTGCCACCAGAAGGGGGCTTGGGAAGTTGAGAACACCATCTTCTTTGAACCTCTCATACTTGTTACGAGGAGCCAGATCCTGAATCGAGGATGCTATTGTATGCTGTGGAAGGCCAGTACCTACCTGCTTGTATTAGAGAAACGAGACCCACCACACTCACAAGACCATCCTTCTTTCAAAAGCTCCATGTCTACATCTGGTAGAACATCTACATCTTCTCTGCCAATTCCCACGACGTGTTGCCCCAAGTCCTCCTGGAAATTCTAGGGCTACAGAAGAGGCGAGCTTCTGATCTGGAAGGTTTATATTGTACAGAGATCCCCCAATTAACCAGATCAGAAGTGGATGTGTCTTTTCCACTTCTTGGAGGAGCCTACGGCCTACAGAACGAAGAAAACTCTTCAGCCTCAGGCGAGCAAACAAGGCTCCACCTCCTCTCCGGCACGGCCTCGTTTCTGGGCTCCTCTCGACGTCGTGCGGCCAGTCCTGAACGACGAACGCCACTCGACGTTTGAATGCTTTGGCCACATAGACCTACCAACATCTCTCCGTGAAAGACAAAGCATCTCGGCAAAAGAATAGGCATGTCGGAATGAAAAATGGTACGTTACATTGAGCCATCATAGCTTCTCCTACACTCAGAGGAAATGGATATCCTTTCGGGCTATGCTATGCTTGTGTCCATTATTGTTTCAGGGAGTGTACTTGACTGTGAAAAGCATTGACGCTTGTCTCACTTCTCTCGTCTCCTCTAGAGCCGAGGTCGAAGGACATGACCGAGCCTCACCTCGAGCGTTTCTCGGATGAAAATGTGTTTTGCACCAAAGCAAGTCTTCAGGTGTGTGTTTCTCTGACAATCTCAAAATGTTGTCAAAAAAAGGGCAACCAGACATCTTGCCCATGTTCTGGAAGGTCCTGGCACCTTTTGTTTCTTTCAGCACCATAACGAGACAAGGGAAAGCATCAGTGAACTGGCCCCTCGACCATGCATATAGTAGTTGTTTTGCTGCAAGTTTAGAATGAAATTGAGGACCGTTGGATCATCTCGCACCGTTCTCACCCCATGGCCTTCAGGACAAACGGAAGAGCAAATAGAACGAGGGAAAGGACTGTATGTGAGAGCAGACTGTTGTGGTAAAAAACAAAGTGCACCCTACTATTCCCGTCAGCCTCTTGGTCAAATTGTTTGGGGGAACTCTGTCATAGTTGCTTCGCAAAAGGAAGCTATGTTCACACCAAATCAGCTGAATCTCGCAAGGATTTGATTAAGGTAGAACTACGTTGGCAGGATTCAGTCCGTTATCCATCAGAGTATGTTCGTAGTGGGCAAACATTTGATGATCAAGCACCTATTCTCTAGGTCTGAGCCAGCAATTCTGCAGGGAATAGCAGCTAACACAAATGAAAGGACTGGTTGTCTCTTCTTGTGAGTCTTGCAGAAAGGATCAGGACGCCAACGAGCGGAAGAATAGTCCCATATGACCCGAATCAAAAAGGATCCCCACAAAAAGTACTCAAAGCACTGATCTAGTAGACCCCACAACATGGAGGCCACTTTGAGACTCCTTCATGAATCCAACAAACAACGTCAGTCAACCTTTTTCCAGTGCAAACTTTGGCAGGTCTATCGGGCACCATTTGGTGCTGGACTCAGCGGCACTTCTCAGCTTGGCTTCCCAGTCCGAGAGGCCCATTCCTTTAATTCCTACTCAGCTTCACAGCAGAAGGCTGTCTACAAAGATCCTGATGTGGATCAAAGAACCAAAGAGAAGCAACCGCAGTCGGGTGTTCTTCTGTTTTCTAGACAGAGTATATAGATCTGTTGACATGTGTTCTAGTTGTTCATGTAACACCTACAACAAATGACCTGATAGGTTTAGGACGCGTTTCCACTCATGCAACTGAAGCAACTACAGTAGATCTCTGACGAAGACATGACACCAAGCGCTTCTCGTACTCTCACAGTCGAGCTGCTGACCGGTCCAAACGGAGGATGCACAGAACCCTTCACGGGTCATCCTGTCGGCTCATTCTCATTCGGTTGAGCGAATGCCCCGGAGAGTATCAGAGCTAGCATCAACTAGCACAAACTCTTCTGTATTTATTCTTTCTAAGGCATTGGCAGTGACCCCTTGTTGGTACATAGTATATATCATTACAAACCAGGAGAGGGTCCCTCTCATCCTCCAATTCAAAGGTTTGAGTCTATCTTGTGTGCTTTCCCAAACCAAAGAGACTGAGAAACATGATTGAAACACCTACAAAAAGGGCGATTCATCCAAGTGCTTCCGAGAGCCCTTAAAAAGATCCGGAAAACAAAGGAGAAAGCACACAAGAAACAACACAAGGAAACCCCTGAAACCTCACCACAAAGCTGGTGCTTCACCCACCTCCACTTGCGGGCTCGTCGTTGGGAGCACCGCCAGGCACCACCTTGATCCGGACCCGCAGCGCGCGTTGAGGGCAGGGTTCGCTTGGCTTTACCTGTGATTTTTTGTCTAGGGTCTCTTTGGCCCCTCGTTCGTGCCTTACAATCCTAGCACTAAAAGCAGGCAGTTTCATCTTTGGGTGATTTTGAAGCAACCTTAGCCAGTAGACTTGGAACCAATTCGGGCGCAGCAGCAGGCGTTTCTGCTTCTTGGGCCTATGCTTTTGTCTTGGTCGAATCTCTTTATGAAACTGTCCCAGAACCGTGAATTGATCCGAGATGAACATTCGTAGTACTTGAAGACGCCTTCATTTGCCCCAATCAAGCCTGACGACCCAACCCTGGCTTCGCAAGACGAACTGAAGGTAGCCACCTCAAGGCTACCTTTCGTGATCTCTGATGAAATGGACATGTGACATGTGCAAATGGGACATCTTGGGGGCCCGGCCAATGGAGCCAACTTGAGTCGCGGCTTTAGAGGAGGAAGATCCTATCAAGCAAGCGGCCAACAGACCGACGTTCTCAATCCGAGGTACCACGCAACTGAAAACACTCACGACAAACAAAGAACCCCAAAAACCCCTATCTCTCATGCAACAACACTTCTCTCAGTGCTGGGTCAGTGCTCGGACTCAAGACCCAAACCTCCAACTGGATTCGTGAATCCACGACTCCTTCGTCGATCATCCTCATGTTTGAAACGCTTTTCTCAACAACGCCGGATGAGTCGGTCTGGGACTCACCTCGGCCCTTTGAGTCACTTGACAAACAAAGAAGGTCTGGGACTATGGGCCTCACCACTACAGGATCTAACAGCAATCCCAACCTAGCTGCATTGTTGTCATTTCTGGTCCCTGCGTGGAAATCTCATATACTCTCATCCTATCAGGTCCTATCATTTATATAACAAAGAAGATTTCCTAGCAAACCAAAAACCCATCAGCACCACCTCACTCACCCCTCGCTGACCGAATCCCTGAAAGTCCTTAAGACCGATTGAGGCGAACCACCCAAGTGTGTGACTTGTGGCGTTGAGCTTCAACAGAAGCCCAGCCGAGCCGAGCCGAGCCCCCCTCGCTCACATCTGAACCTTCTCGTCCGTCTTTTGATCTTTCGATTCGGCCTCATTCTCAGCGACTCGGACGACCATTCGCTTCAAAAAGCACTTCAGCTCACTTGCACTATCCAATCCCTTTTGGTCTACTTGGTCGACTCTAAAAGCTTTTAGCGGACTCAGACTCAGAAGCCAAAAGACTTGGCCCCAAAAATAGTTTGATGTGCAAACACTTCCGCATGCGAATATCCCCAAGCACATGGATCTTCACCAAAGGATCTGAGTTTGATGAGATGTATCCCTTCTCCCACTTGTTCCAAGCTCATGGACCGTACCGACCTCTTCCTTTTGGCGCTTCTTCTCGCGCTTCTGGCAACGAAGGGCGTTGAGTATCCAAAGACTGACAGATTCCAGCGCTTCTTTTTCCAGTCTACTGGTCCTACGTTTCTACAGGTTGAATTAAATAAGTGAAGTGAGTAACCTGAAGGTCATAGCTTAAGCCGAAAGCGAGAGACTTTGGACCGAAGGTGCTCAGACAGAGCCATGTTTCGTGCGAGCCTCAATCTGTTCTAAAAGAGTTACGTATGGGTTGCAGGCATCGATGTCTCCGTTGCCTCGTGCTTCCCATCAGACTTTTTGCCTCAAGCTGGGAGGCTTGAGGCTTTCCAAGCTGGGAAAGGGACCATGGTCCAAGAACTTGAGCTTTCAGTCAAACGAGGATGTCTGGATGTCCTATTGAGGAGAAAACCATCGGATGTTGGGAGGATGTGATCTAGTAACTACTACGCCTTTGTGTTTGACCAACCGCACTCCAAAGCAATCCAACTCCGTGAGGAGTCAAATCCGGCTTTTCGGACGGATCACAACCGTGTGAACCAGAAATCTGGTGTGGGTGTGTCTCTAAACAGGGAGGTTACCAGGTCGACCGCCAAAAGAGAAAATAGCTCTTTGGGCCAGTTGGTCACCAGGTCGTTGAGAAACTGTGTGTTTGTCTTCCCTCCCACCTACGGCTGTTCACTCCGACCAAAAACATTCCAATGTCCACCAGGCCGGGAGACTCTTAGCTTTCTGAGCATCTTCCATCCTCATCATCTCCTGGCCATGCAAAACTAGATCAGAAGACCTCGCGGCACCATTCTTTTGACTGCCTTTGTTAGGTCTAATCCGCCAGAACGCGGCGATCTTCGTCCGGGTCAGGGGCTGGGCTTTCTGTTCGGACGCCTGGTGCCTTCCGCCCGCTGCCTGCCATTCGGACGCTTCGCCAGCGTCTTCATGGACATCCTCCACAGGCTTCAGCTGAGCTCTGCGGAGCATCATAGACTGCATAGACTGCATGCTTCCAAAGAGATGCCATCAGTCTTACAGATTCCAGTATTCCGTCATTCCGTCATTCCAGTCCTGGGCCAAAAAAATGGACAATGCCTCTACCAGAGAGCCTTGCCTCAGGCGGTCAGGCAGAGCCAAGCGCAAAAACAGCATGATTTCCTGACCTTAAGAGCCTGGAAGGAGTGTGCAGCTACCTTGCACCCATCGAAGCACCGTGCGCATGGTGCCCCGGCTCAAAGGCATCTTGCAGGAGATCCTTCACTCCAGCCTGGGGCCGTGCTGCATCACCCGGTCGATGAACACGTCCAACACTCCCACTGAGCTGCCACATGTTGCCGCTCCCAACGGTTTTGGGGAGGAAGTTCCGCAAGACCAAGTGGAACTAGTTGGGGTCGTCCTTTTGTGACTTTTGGAGCCACTTGATGAAGACTGGTGCATTGGTCAAACCAGATCCTTGGTGTTCTTTGTTTTTTTGGGGAAAAGAAGTGATCCCTCGTGCCTATTGGTACTGTTGTTCTCAAGCAAAAACACGAGCACACACCCCTCGCCTTCAGGTCCGCGAGGTCCTCGAGGGCCTCGATGCTCGGCTCGCCTGGGGGAAGCTCTCCGTAAAGGAGCTTGTTTGAGGTGGCCGAGCGGTCTCGGCGATGGGTTCCAGATGGGCTTGGAATCCTTCTGAATCGATATGAATCCACATGAAACCATCATGTGAATTAATGGTTTTCAAGACAACTTTTCAGGCATCCAGAGGAAAGCCGATTGAAACTCGACCAGCCGGCAACAGGAGGGGCCAGGTTCTTGCTGTCGGTTGACCCCGCCATGGGAGGAAGGAAACACAATCTTCATTTGCCTTCCACTGGTAACAAAGTCTAGGTTTGCCGATGTGCATTGAAAGCATTCTCCCAAAAACAACAAAAGGATGTCTGGCAGCCAGTTAGCCGTATCCATTTGGACTGTAAAACATGCTTGGATGGGAAATCCCTTCTTGGCCTTACACAGAACATTGAAAAGCACAAGGTCATAGAAGCTACAGTGACAGTATCCACTGGATCCATCAGCTGCACTTGAATCCACCTTGCATTTCCCAGGGCTGCTGTAGAGGGAAGCTGTGGAAAAACACAACTGAGCCCAATGACTGAGGACGTACTTCCCTTGAAGCACTCTAACCACACAAAAGCGGAAGCTACCAACACTTCCCACCAACCAAAAGTAGACCATTTCAGCTACCCGTTGGGTCCATCCCAGTCCACACGGTCCAATAACAACCCGCCCACGGCCCACGTCCCTTGCCTTCTGGAGATGCCGCCTGAGCACCCAAACGAAACACGTCGGCTAACACGTCTGTGTCGACTCAGGACGGCCACCGGTGTTTGGTTGGAAAAGTAGGGAAAGTCCATGCTTTACATGTAAGACATGGCTGTCTGCAACCATCACAACCAAAAGTGTCTCGCGCTTTGGACGCCAACCTATTCCACTATTCCACTGGCATGTCTAAGAACAAAGAGGCATTTCCTGCATTTGCTATTTTCGGGTGTGCCAAACGCCCCGAAACCTCATGCTCAGTGTTCTTCGCGCGTGACAGACCCAGCGTGGCCTCTTTTCGAGCGGCCTCCTGACATACTCGATGAATGGATCCGAGATAGAAAACAATTGACAGCCCGACAGCTGTGTCTACACTGTGTTTACAGCTATGCCTGGCGAAGTGATCTTGCAGTCTGAATCCACTGGCAGCACTGGTCTTCACCAGGATCAAACATGAAAGGTGCAGCCTGCATTGCTCTGGCTGCAGCTTCCTCCTCCTGCAGGACAATAATTCCGGAGCACCAACTACCTTCCCTAAATTGATATACCAAGGGTGGCTTAGATCAAACTCGCTCCGCTCCAGAAAATAGGAGCTGCAAACTCACCAAGCAGAAAAAGGTCAAACTGCTCCAAAAATCAGAATCGCCGCTGGTGACAACCGCCATATCTTACCCCAGCCAATCTATGTCAATCTGACCCCCAACGACTTGGCTTTTCGCCTGCTGTTTCTTTGCAGCAGCTTCCTCCTCCTTCGTGACGGCTCGGAAGAGGGACCATAGAACCATGGTTTGCCAGATCTATTTCAACCTACATGATCTATCCTTAGCGTTTCCGGAGAATGCCGTGGTTAAACAGGGACGTCTCTTTAGTCTCCTTGATCGGACTCACATCCACATAAGGTTTGTCTACGCCCGTAAGCTCAAAATTTACCCTTTGCAAGTCACAACACGAATACGGCCTGCTTCTTCCTTGCAGCCTCCTCTTCCTGGTCTTAATAGTGAATAGTGACTCTATACTCTAGTGCTCAACGAAGCCACTCCAAAGCACACTGCAGCCTGCTTCTTTCTTGCAGCTGTGGCGTGTGTAGGGGTTGCATTGTACTGACGAAAGTGGACAACAAAATATCACTGCCTGCTTCTTTCTTGCAGCAGCTTCCTCATCCTGGTAACAAAAGGCGTCTTACAACATACACAGACCTCTCTCCAAAACGTTCAACACCCTGTACGCTGCCTGTTTCTTTCGTGCCGCGGCTTCCTCCTCCTGGTAACAGAAGGTGACTTGCAACATGCACAGACCTCTTTCCAAAAACTTTCAACACCCTGTGCGCTGCCTGCTTCTTTCTTGCCGCGGCTTCATCCTCCTGCTAGCAAAAGGCATCTTACAACATACACAGACCTCTCTC